TCACTCAATGATGTAACAAGGAAATAGCACAATTTGTACTAATCTCGTTAACTTCTCACACCTACACAAATAAGGCTTTTGGTGGATCTCGGTGAGGATAGTGGCACAAAAAATTTGATGCAAAATGTTAGCAAGAGTCAAAAATGTTGAAAGAGATTCACAAATTCACAAGTGAAACAAATGGACCAATAGCAATATGGGTGGCACACGGAAACACACACACGGATAGATAAATGGGGTCGTGCAACCAAGGAATGAGCACAAAATGTGGAATCCACAGAAAACACTCGTGTTGCACAACTCAAGAGAGACGCTAGCACGATTGCTCAATAGGCGGATACGACACTTGTGCAAAACTATAAGATGCAAAATGTAGCAACTTATATCCCAAGTATGCTATGTATATATGGTTCCCGGTGTTTCTCACAAGATGATCCAAGATGATCGGATATGACAATCTTATATGCAATGTGGTATGATGCTATGACACTTGCTTACAAGCTTCTTTGCTCTCTTTCTTTTGCTTACAAGCTTTTCTTTTTCTTTTTCTTTTTTTGTATGGCCACTTTTGCACCAATGCACAAACCAAGATAGCAATAGTGTATATGCAGGAACAAACTTATGACACAAAATATGATATGATAGCAAGATGATACCAACATGACATGGTATATATGCAATAAGAGGTGTAGACCAATGAGCACTAATGTGCACAAGTAACGTTGCCGGCAATACTCAATGGCTAGTCTCGATAGGCAAGTGACGCAAAATGGGCTAGGGGTTAACAATGCAATTGCAAGGGTAATATACAATGGTTTCGTTGAGGTTACCATCCTTGTTGATGATGAGAGGCGGTGTTGCCGATGTCGAACCGTCCCTAATTAGCAGAAACACCTTAGGAAACAGAAAAACCACAAACTCAAAATCTCCAAAGGCAAAATGTCAAATGGAGGTAGCGGAAAAGCGGTGGTGGTTTGCACTCGGCAATGCGGAAGTGGAGTGATGGGCTATACACGTGTCGGAGTTGAAGTTGTCGTCCCTAAGTAGCCGAAACACCTTAGGAGATACAAGCCACAACTCAAACAAGCTCAAACAAAATTGGGTTAAGTTGGGTTGTCGGAAGTGTATGGTGGGCAAGGTTATGTGGAAGTGGAGGTGTTCGTTGATGAAGAAGCAACCATCCCTAAGTAGCCGAAACACCTTAGGAGACTCGAATCACTACTCAAGCAACCACTAAAGCTATATGAATCAAAATGGGTTAGGTTGCGGAATGCTATGGTGGTTATGCGGATGATATGGTGGAAGGCCTAGGCAAAGATGCCAATGTTCCAAAAAAATTGATGGAGTAAAATGATGATGGTAGTATTTTTGTGGGATGGGGGATGTCAATAGCTTCAAAACGAGCTAAAGAACGTCAAAATCGGACACCGGATGAATTAGTTATGGTCAAAACGGTGAAACACGGAAGGCTGAAATGCCAGGGGTCGGACATCCGGGGGTGGGAGCCGGATATCCGGGGGTTAATGTCTAGAACCGTGCGGATTTTGTGCTCTAGGAGCCGGATGTCCGGGGTGGCTGGATGTCCGGGGGGTCGGGCCGAATGTCCGTGCTCCAAATCCGAGAATGAACTCGAGGAACTCGATTTTGGGGCGGAAATTGATGATTTCGGGGGCAAAATTGGAGAGATTTCGTTGATCGAAAGTGGGGAAACTTGGGGGAAAGATATATCCACTAGTAACACAATGAATCCACGCATCAAAATCAACAAAACTTCATTTCACCAACAAATCACAAAAAAAGTTGGGGCTATTTTTGGTGGGGTTTTTGAATTTAGGCAAGAACACGCAAAATTAGGCTAGAAAAAGAGGGGGTAGGGGCTCCAAATTCATGATCAACCTTGCTCTGATCCAAGATGATGTAGGTTAGAACCCTAGACGCCCGATCTTTCACGTTTGGAGGGAATCCTACGAAGAACACAAAGAACACGAGAGGAAAAACGAGGGGAACACGAGGGAAAACACAAGAGAATCATTCAAACCAACGAGATCCGGTCACACATGCTAGATCCTTGAAACACAAAGAGATACACGGTCCGAATCCAACAAAGGACGATACAAGTGGCGGTAGTTCATCTCCATGAGGAGGTCTTGAGGGTCATCCCATGAATGGGGTCTTGAATCCAAGATGGATCTTCTCCGAAGAGGTCGTGGTCTCTCATGAGGAGTAGATCCTTATGGATGAGACAAGCTCTATCTCAAATGAGCTAAACCTATGCTAACCCTAACTAGGAGGAGGGGTGGTCTATTTATAGTCTAAGCCACGAAGTGGTAAGTGGGAAAGGGATACATGGGCCCTTGGCCCGTTCACTGTGCGCAGACAGGCGTCGGATGTCCGGGCTGGGGGGCGGATGTCCGGGGCTTCACGACGGGCCGGATGTCCGGGCTGGGAGGCCGGATGTCCGGGCTGGGAGGCCGGATGTCCGGGCTGGCAGGGTCCAGCTTCTGTGATGGGGCACCGGATTTCCGGGCGCTGGGCTGGATGTCCGGCGGCTCGCGACGGGTCGGATGTCTGGGCTGACTTGGCTGACTCTGGTGCTCTCTAGATAGAAGGGAGCCGGATTTCCGGGCATTGGGTCGGATGTCCGGGCCTGGCCGGATGTCCGGGACATGGCTGCATGTCTGGCTGCTGTAGCAGCTGACTCTTCTTCCTTCTCCTTCCTTCGCTCCCGTGCACACTTGGCCTTGGTCCTTGGGCTCTCCATGGCCTCCTTGGGTGTACCTGAGTATGAACAAGGTACGCGCTTGAGGTAGCATCCATGTCTTACATGCGGAAAGGGAAGATTCGGAAAGGAGCGAGTTCACCTTAGGTCCAATGGCGTATGCTTGAGGTCTCAACATGTGGGCACTTGGGTCTTGGGGAGTAGTCGTGGTGTACATGGGGATGATCGTAGGATGCTCCGCATCACCATTCCTCCACGACGATGTCAAGACGGCAAGCTTCCTGCTCGATCGTAGCCTTTACCGCCATTGTCTCTGACTTTGGGGTATCGAAGCTAGCACCAAGTGATGAGGCTGAGATTGCAACATTGGTGCAAGGCACATACGGGTACCTGGACCCGGAGCACCTCATGACATGCCACCTGAGGAATAAGGGTGGTGTGTATAGCGTTGGGGCCATTGTTCTCAAGGTCTTCACAGGGACGAAGATGCTCTGCTTTGATGGGCCAGAGGAGGACATGAGCGCCGTGTCTCGATTCGCAATGGTCATGAAAATGGGCCAACACGACGAGCTCCTTGACGGCCAGGTTAGAGCGGAGATGGCCTCCGGGGCGTTGGAATAAGTAACGCACCTCATGATGCGGTGTGAGAGCATGATCAGGGAGGAGCGTCCGTCGATGAAGGAAGTTGCGGAGAAGCTCGAGGCATTGAGGAGGTACCAACGGAACCCATGGGGTGAGGCTGGTGCTGATCCGGAGGAGGAGCAAAGCTTTGGCAGGGATCAACAACGTGATATGAATTATAAGTTGAGATCGCAAGATGTTCTTGATCTTGAAGATGGTTGTGCATACACTTTTAGCTTGTAGTACTTTTTCTGCTAGAGCTTTTAGTTTGTAGATTGTTCCAATGTTTGGTGAGGACTCTATCTAAATCAACACAAATGTGTGATGTCTTTTGGATGTAATAGTAGAAATGTAAATCAATTCCATTCTCGTCTACAGCGATGCTTCTTCAACAACAGTTCTAACAAAGTATTTTCAGGAGAGAAGCAGATTGTACTTCAAGAGAACAAAGAGATAGAAGAACAGAAGGAACATGTTGAGCACAACAATAACATTTAGTAGCCAGTTGTTAGAGAAACTATTCATCGAAATATCTGTATTACAGAAAAAAAAGATATAATACTTTAATTTTACAATGCGAATAGAGATATATGAGAAGCGATACACGGTTGCGAATATAAGAAATAGAACCCCAAATTTCTAAATCTTTACATAGATCGGCGGCCCACAAACTGCGTGCCCTAAATCCCGTCGTTTGTATTGTGTTAAAAAAACGGTAATGATAACTTCCGGACGTTCGGGAGTTAAGCATGGCAACCAGAACAGGTTTAGATGGCAAGTTTAGTTTGTGTGAGATTAGGGAAACATGGCAATTTTCTGACAAAAAAACGAAAAAGGACGAAGTTGCCATCCCATATGAACTAAAGTTTCCATGTAAAAAACGTTCGAGACGAAATGCTCAATATCCGAACTGTTCGGGAGTTATTGGATTCCTAAAAAAATCACGCGGGGAGGCTGAAACAGACCTGACCGTAGCATGTTGAAAAATCTACGCAACATGAAAAAGCGTAAATTGACTGACCTGACACGCCAACATTTGACGCTAAGTGGCCCAATCGGGGTGTCTGGCAACGAACCCAACTGCTCAAGCTGTTTCCTCAGAAAAAACTGCTACTGCTCAAGCTGTGTGAGCCAGATCCGGTGACCCTCGTTGTTCCAACATCTGTTAGAGCTCTGTGTCACGAACTCGAGCTTAAGGTGTTCACGATGCTCCGGAGGAAAGAGACGCAGGGAAGCAGAGTGCAGAAGGCTGAGATGCTCGCGAGGGAAAGTAGGAGGAAGAGGTCAGAATGGCAGGTGGTTAGGGACACATCGGGGGAGCAGTTGAGACGAAGCAGAGTGTGAGACAATTTGGGTCAGTTGCCAACTTGGGGTGGAATATTGGTCCACTTGACAACTTGGGCGAATCAACAATGCGGGCACGCCATGGAAGACCTGCCAAGTCAAGCCTACGTGGTCTCCTCTCCCAGTTCGGTACATGCATCTATCTCCTTCCTCCCTTCTTGGCATGATCCTAGTCGAGACTGGTCACTGGTCGTCGCCTTCCATCAATCGTCGGTCCATCAATCATCGTTCACTGAACTAGCCAATGTGTAAGTGTATATAGTACTGTGTATCGGAGCAGAGCAACCAACGAGAGAGAAAGAGGAGCATCTCGAGAATGGCGACCACCGTAGTGCTGCTGCTGATCCTACTTCACTTGCTGGTGGCGAAAGCGACGGCGGCGGCTCAGCGGCAGCTGCCCGTGGCGCGGCCGAGGTGCCGCGACAGGTGCGGTAACATCACCGTTCCCTACCCCTTCGGCATCGGCGCGGGCTGCTACCGCGACGAAGCCGGCGCCAACAGCTTGCGCTTCGAGCTCGAGTGCGACGACGGCCGCTCCCCTCCGCGCCTCGTGGACGCCAACCAAAAGAACCAACTCGCGGACCTCTCCCTCGATGCCGGCGAGGCCCGCGCCTACCTCAACGCGACACGCCACTGCTACAACTCCACAGGGGGGTTCGCCGGGCGGAACACCAACAAGGCGTACATGACCCTGTTAGGCACCCCCTTCCTCTTCTCGTCCACCAAGAGCCGCCTCGTCGCGCTCGGCTGCCCCAACCTCGGCTACTTCGTCCATGGCGACGGCTACTACGTCAGCGGCTGCATGTCCGTGTGCCGCCCCTCGCAGGAAGCCATGCCGGGCCCGTGCACCGGCATTGGGTGCTGCCAGAGCGAGATACCCCCCGGCCTCCATTTTTTCGAGCCTACCATTCGCAACTTTCCGCGGGGGGGTGAGGACTTCTCCTTCTACTCCAACAGCACGCCGTGCCGCTACGTGTTCCTCGTCGACAAGGAGTGGTTCAGCTACACCGATCGCGTCTTCCTCAACCGCACCGACGACTTCGATGTGCCCGTCGTGCTCGACTGGGCCATCCGGAACGTCGGCAACTGCAGCGCCGCTAGGCAAAACACGACGGACTTCGCCTGCCGAGGTGGGGCGCGCAGCGACTGCTTTGACGTCGCCAATGGCCCCGGGTACCGATGCAACTGCTCCCAGGGCTACGAAGGCAACCCGTACCTCGACAATGGATGCATAGGTAAACATTCTGAATTTCTGATTCATTACATGTCACACGACTGTGTTCAGTTACTTAGTAGTAGATTTGTAATTTGTCTGATCAAATGTGTTGAAACTGCATTGCAAACTGAAGATATAGACGAGTGCGAACACAAAGAAAATTACTCTTGCTACGGAGTCTGCACAAACACAATAGGGAGCTACACATGCCAATGCCCTCCGGGTACTAGTGGAGATGTCAAAGTCAAGAGTGGCTGCCGGCCAGATGACAAGTTTACATTAGCTCTGAAAGTCGTTACAGGTAACTTCTTGAAAACAACTTCACCTTAGCTTTGCAAACTGAAGATATCAATAATGCAACATATTTCACGCTTGTATCGTTGGCTCTTCCTGCAATTTATTCTCGGGGGTCCTTTTCTACAAATGGTGTTCTTCCTGGAGATCTAAACTAATGATGGAGCATAGGTGTCAGCGTCGGGGTGTTCTTGTCGGTGTCCATGTGCTTCTGGCTCTACTTGGGGCTGCAGAAGCGGAAGCTCATCAAGGCAAAGCAGAGCTTCTTCGAGCACAACGGAGGCGTCATCCTGCAGCAGCAGATGCGTTCCTATAGTGGCACCGCAGGAGGTGGCGGTGGCGGATTCAAAATATTCTCCGAAGAAGAGCTCGAGAAGGCGACCAACAACTTCGCCGCCGATCAGATCCTCGGGCGGGGCGGCCATGGCATCGTGTACAAGGGTGTCCTCGAGGACAAGACGGTGGTGGCCATCAAGAAGTCCAAGGTGATGGAGGCGACCGAGACCAAGGAGTTTGCGAGAGAGATGCTCATCCTCTCCCAGATCAACCACCGAAACGTCGTCAAGCTGCACGGCTGCTGCCTCGAGGTGGAGGTGCCAATGCTGGTCTATGAGTACGTCTCCAATGGCACCCTCTACCACTACATCCATGGCGGTGAGGGCCTCGACAATAACAAGGCACTCGATACCCGCCTTCGGATAGCGGCAGAGTCTGCGGAGGCGCTGTCATATATGCACTCGTCAGCCTCGCCCCCGATCCTCCACGGTGATGTCAAGACGGCGAACATCCTGCTTGACGACAACCTCACTGCCAAAGTCACGGATTTCGGGGCGTCGAAGCTGGCACCAAACGACGAGGTTGAGATTGCGACATTGGTGCAGGGAACTTGCGGGTACCTGGACCCGGAGTACCTCATGACATGCCAGCTGACGGACAAGAGCGACGTGTACAGCTTTGGCGTCGTTTTGCTGGAGCTCCTTACAGGGAAGAAGCCGATCCGCTTCGACGGGCCAGAGGAGGGAAGGAGCCTCATGTCCGGGTTCATGACAGCAGCGAAGGTTGGTGGACACTACGAGCTCCTAGACAACCAGGTGAGAAATGAGATGGGGCCAGAGGCATTGGAAGAAATCACACACCTCATGATGCGATGCGTGAGCATGAGCGGCGAGGAGCGACCGTCGATGAAGGAAGTTGCCGAGAGGTTGGAGGCGTTGAGAAGGTACCAGAGGCACCCATGGGGCCAGGCTGGTGCTGGTGATCCGGAGGAGGGGCAAAGTTTGCTTGGTAGAGAGCAACAACGTGATGTGAATTATAAGTTCAAACCGCAGGACGTGCTTGATCTCGAAGAGGGTAGCACATACACTTTTAGCTTGTAGATTTTTTTTTGCAAGGCCTTTTAGTTTGTAGATTGTTCTAATGTTTGGTGGGACTCCTTTCAAGTCTGACACAAATTTGTAAACTATTTTGGATGTACCTCCCGAAAAAACTGTATCTCGCTCCTGTAGTCCTGTGTCGCTTGTGGGCGACACCGGATACACTTCAAACACGTTTCAATCTCTTAATTTCACTCAATATATTTCAGTGTGTGAAATAGCTTATTTGTGAAGTTGCTATCTTCAGTGCGTGCAACTGATGTTTTGTGGAATATACTGAACTTGAAAATGATATTTGTGTAGCTGCTTATTTCAGTACATGTTTAATGAGTTTGCGTATTTCACTCATTCCCATTTCAGTTATATTACATAAATCTCAGCTTCTTGAAATGAGTGAAATTAGGTTTTTGAAATGAGAAAAAATAGATTTTTGAAATGAGTGAAATTAGCTTTTGAAAATAACTGAAACATGCTTTAAATTGAAATGAGTGATAAATCTATTCTGAAAAAGACATAAATTAGGTTTTACAAATGAGTAGTTCTACTATTTATTTGAGATGGATGAAATTATTATTTTAAATTGGTGAAATCAATCATTTAAATTAGTGAAATTAGTTTTATGAAATGAGTGAAATCGGTCTTTGAAATGAGCAAAATTAGTTTTCCAAAATAGTAACCAGCAAGACAAGCCTGCCTATTTTCTCCCGGTTCGATATGCATGCCTCTCGTGAACTCCATCACCAGTCCACCATACACCAAACTCCATCGCCCCGTATGCAGTATGCTACTCCCTCTGTCCCATAATATAAGAACGTTTTTTACAGTTGGGATGAGCAGAGCCAGCAACCAGAGAAGAACATGTTGAGAATGGTGACCACCGTACTGATGCTGGTCGTGCTGCACTTGATGGTCGTGGTAGCAGCGACTCAGCGGCAGTCGTCGCCCATGGCGCTGCCGGGGTGCCCCAACAGGTGCGGCAACGTCACCGTCCCCTACCACTTCGGCATCGGCGTAGGCTGCTACCGCGACCTCGGGGGCTCCCAGCTCGAGTGCGACCACTCCGATTCGGGCGGCTCCCCTCCGCGCCTCACCATCTACGGCTTCAGCAACCGCCTAGCGTGACGGAGGGAGAAGAAGCTATAGGATTCAACAGACTTTAGTTAGCTCTGCGGCCGAGGATATATACAGTTCACAGAGTGATCGTGTGTCACTACCAGGGCCGATTGTGGGCTAACATCGTGCCCCACTACTCACGCGCGTGCACTGACCAAAGGGCGTGCCACATACGCAGATAGCAGATTATACATAGGTATACTATACGTACACTCTAACCCCCTGCAATCTTGGCGTCGGCCGGCGCGACACAAAGACTGGGCCGGAACTGAGGACGAGGACCGATCCACCGGCGTCCGCGGTGCCGAAGCGTGTTCTGCGTCTCCGTGACAAGCACACCGGCTCAAGACGATCCAGCAAGGCCTATCAGGGAATGTCTGAAAAAATAGAAAAGGGAAGGGGCGGGAGCTCGGACGAGCTGTTAATAGCAATTGCAGCGAAAGACGACGAGAAAAAAGATGTGAATTATACAAACTGAAAAAAGAATGAGAAACGAGTGGATGCTGCTGGGACAGAGACAAGAGGCGGTCGGGGCCCACCAGCATGTGCGTCGTGGGTGCTGCGCACGCGACCGGCGCGACGCGCGGCCGGTCAGCCGGTTTAGCATTAATGGGCCCACTTGACAACCGAAGACCAGCCAAGTCAAGCACTCGAGCCTCTACTCTCGCCTCCTCTCCTTGCACCATTCACGGAACTCGCCCCGTATGCACATCGGAGCAGAGCAAGAGCAACCAGCCAGAGAAGAGCATTTCATGGATGGCGAGCACTATACTGCTTCTCCTGATCGTGCCGCATTTGCTGGGGGCGGCGGCGGCGACAGCTCAGCGCGTGGCGCTGCCGGCCTGCCGGGACAGGTGCGGCAACATCACCATCCCCTACCCCTTCGGCATCGGCGCCGGCTGCTACCGCGACGAGGGCTTCCAGCTCGAGTGCAACATCTCTGGCCCCGGCAGCTCCCAGTCGCGCCTCACCATGTTCGGTTACAACCACCGCCTCGGTGCTGTCTCCCTCGCATCCGATGAGGCCAGCGCCTACCTCAACGCGACGAGGGAGTGCTACAACTCTACTGGCGGGCTCCTTGACCGGAAAGACACGTACATGTCCCTCGGCGCCAGCCCTTACCTCTTCTCCGACGCCAAGAACCGCCTCGTCGCGCTTGGCTGCCCCAACCTCGGCTACTTCATCGACGGCGCCGGCTACTATATGTCAGCGGTTGCATGTCCGTGTGCCGGCCGTCTCAATACGCCCTGCCGGGCCCGTGCACCGCTGTCGGGTGCTGCCAGAGCGCGATACCTCCCGGGATCAGCTTCTTCGAGCCCCACCTGCGCAACTTCCCGCCGCAGCAGGAAGACAACTCCGCCTTCATCAGCAACGCCACGTCGTGCCACTACGTTTTCCTCGTTGAGGCGGACTGGTTCAGCTACAGCGACCGTTTCTTCCTCAACTGCACCGACGACTTCACTATGCCCCTCGTGCTCGACTGGGCCGTCCGCAATGTTGGGAACTGCAGCGCTGGCAGGCGCAACGCCACCGACTTCGCCTGCCGGAGCACGCACAGTGAGTGCTTAGAGTATCTCCAGCCGCGCCCCCAACAGACCCCAGGATGACTTTTTGGACGCCGGCGCCGAAAAAAAACCCAGCCGTGCCCCCAAGACGCCAAAATCCGCCGGCTCGGCCCATTTTTTAGCCCGGCGATTCCAGGCCGAACCCAACGCGCTAGGGGGTGCTCGGGGGCTCCGGCGGAAGGGAAAAACACGCCTGGGCCACACTGTCTGGCGAAAAGTCAAG